ATTTCGTTTTTGTTTCAATGGCCCGGGGTAAAATGTAGAAGAATTGAAAAACGCACCACCCAACTACACTCGGACCATTTGTATAATAAAATCCGAAACAGAAATATGACAAACTGTACAAATTCGAAATGAAGAACATCTAACGAAGAAAAAGAGTCGATTCGGACTAAGAACGGAGGCAACATTCATCTGAAAATGAAGTTATAAGACAAAAGAAAATAAGCGGACACTTGGGACAAAAAAAGGATTAAAAATGTTTCCCGCTTGTACGACTTACATGTTATTTATATAGACGAAACAATTTTAGGCGTACCAAAAGGATTGAGCTTCAAAATCACTGGAAATGGAAAAATGAACGAAACAACATTATTACATACGATAGGCAATGTACAAGTCAAGCGACTCTGTAGATATTGACGCGTACTTGTACAATCAATTCGACCGAATCGTATTGAATGCATGTGTTCCGGAAACCTTTTTTGTAGTTCACCATTTGGCAGAATGCTACCGCTTGACTCGAAATAATAATTCAAATGAAAGATCGTGGTTTTTCCGCTCTGTCTTTTCTTCGATGAACTTTTATTTTTGCTCATTTGTGTTGTATACTTGGTATTTGCCTTCATTATATCATGCAATTGACACCATACTTTCTATGACAACCCGTTCCCAATGACATATCTTTTCAGTTTCTCGTTTTCTTTCTACTCGTGTTGTCATTTGAAGAGCTTTTGCCATTTTTTTCACGCCGATTTTTCATTTGTGAGTTTTGCGCATAATCACTCTGAAATGCTCATCTTCTTTTATTGGGTTCGCTAACGTTTTTTCTTCTTCTTCTTCTTTTTCTCTTGTCTTTTATTTTTATCGCAAATTTCTTGTCTTTTGTCTATTTTTTTCTCTCTCAATACTTCTTCTTTTTTTTTTTTGATTTAGTTGAATTATAGCCGGCTCGTTTTTTTTCTCTTGGAAATTGCGTCCGCGTGCACATCACAACCAAAGTTGGCCCAATGAGGAAACTAACAACGAAGTGAATTGATGAGGAGTGTGTGTGTGTGTGTCAGAGAAAGAGAGAGAGAGAGAGCTGCACAACAGTAAAAAAGGGTTACATTTGTCTTGCAATAAAGTTAAACGTATTACGATTACCAGACGACTGAACTTAAATGGCATCTTTCTTTTCTTTGGAACAAAACACACAAAATACACATCACAATTGACAGCCTGATAGTAAAACCAACACTTAATTTTCTTATGCGTAAAAATAGCATGTATTTTTGTTTGGAGTAAAACAATACCACATATCATAATCGAGAGCAAAAATTCAACACACAAAGTTGAGAGCAAAACCACGACATACGCAAAATCAGAGCAAAAGTGAATAAGCGATATGTCGTGTTTTTGCTCTCAAGTTTGTCTATAGTTCTTTTGCCCGCAACAATCGGAGTTTTGTATTTAAGCCGAAAAAACGGATTTTTTATGAGCGAGGCGGACCATATATCTACGATCATGTAGATGATAAAAAAATCGCGAAAAATGAAAAAAATAATTAATTTTTTTTTCTTCGATGCTCAAATACTACTATGGACTTTTTTCACTGTTTGAGTGCTCTATACCGAGTCTCCGAGAGTTTCATATAAACTCGCTATGTGATGCCTATTGAATAGTAAGCGAATACCAATCGTGATTGAATCAATAGGCGTCATTTGGCTATTGCAAGGCGAGTTTATATGAAACTCTCGGAGACTCGGTATAGAGCACAAAAAGTGAAAAAAAATTATTTTTTTTCTCATTTCTCGAATACCACTAAATGGTCTATATCATGTGGTGTGATCAGAACGTAAAAATTTGTCATCTCTGTCACCCAAATCGTTGTCTCAATGCTATCTCGCTCCCCCTTGCATGTATAAATGTTTAAAACGGACATTCTATTCACACACATCTCGCACTTATATTTTGCTGCGCAATAAAATTATTAACAATGTATTTGGTCATCGCTTTGAGTTTTGTGTCGATGACTTTTATTGCGCAGCAAAATACAAATGTGAGTTGTGTGTGAATATAGAATGTCCATTGTAAACATTTATAGATGCAAGGGTGAGCGTGATAGCATGAGACAACGACTTGCCATTTGCCAAGCACGATTTGGGTGAAAGAGATAGCAAATTTTTCACAGCAAATGATATAGAGCATTTAGTGGTGTTCGAGAATTGAGAAAAAAAATGTTTTTTTCTTTCACTTTTTGTGCTCTATAACGAGTCTCCGAGAGTTTCATATAATCTCGCCTTGCAATAGCCAAATGACGCCTATTGATTCAATCACGATTGGTATTCGCTTACTATTCAATAAGCATCACATAGCAAGTTTATATGAAACTCTCGGAGACCGGTATAGAGCACTCAAACAATGAAAAAAGTCCAGATCGTGATTTAGATGATATGGAATGCGATTTTTTTCATTCTGATTTCACCAGGTGATACAGAAAATTGGGTAGTATTTGAGAATCGAAGAAAAAAAATTTAATTATTTTTTTCATTTTTCGCGATTTTTCATACCATCTATATGGGAAGCTTGTATGAAAAACACGGAAGACCGCTGAAATGACATTGACGTAGATCCGTATATATTTGGCGTTTGTCATTTCAGCGGTCTTCCGTGTTTTTCATACAAGCCTCCCATATAGATGGTAAAAAATCGCGAAAAATGAAAAAAATAATTAATTTTTTTTTCTTCAATTCTCAAATACTACTCAATTTTCTGTATCACCTGGTGAAATCAGAATGAAAAAAATCGCACTCCATATCATCAAAATCGCGATTGGCATTCGGTCACTATTCAATGGGTATCACATAGCAAGCTTATATGAAACTCTCGGAGACTCGGTATAGAGCACTCCAAAAGTGAAAAAAATCCAGATCGTGATTTGAATGATAAGGAATGCGATTTTTTTCATTCTGATTTCACCAGATGATACAGAAAGTTGAGTAGTATTTGAGAATTGAAGAAAAAAAATTTAATAATTTTTCTCATTTTTCGCCATTTTTTACCATTTACATGGGAGGATTGTATGAAACACACGGAAGACCGCTGGAATGACACTGTCGTATCACACGCGTATAAAAAAATCAATTTTTCGGCGTAAAAACAAGATCCCGATTGTTGCGAGGAAAAAAAACTATAGACAAAATTGAGAGCAAAAACACGACATATCCAGCCTGCGGGCAAAAACAAGTAATCGATATATTGTGTTTTTGCCCTCAGTTTTTTACAAACTCTTTTTGTTCTAAAATTTGAAAGTTCTCTATATACGCTGAAGAATTTGCATCATGTTTTTACGCTCAAGTTCTTCCATTTCGGTTTTACTATTAGGCTGTCAATTGAATAGCAGAAGAAATATTGCAAAAATGTGAAGAAAAAGGAATGCGTTTCGGGTGATGGAGGCAAGTGGAAAAATGGTAAAGAGTTTGAGTGGAAAATGGATACAAAGACGAGCTAAATAAAACGGAAAGTGCAAAATAGAGAAACAAAATGCTGGCCATAGGCGATGAGAGAGAGTGAAAAAAAGCAACAGCGCACACATATTTAAGATAAATGAATTAAGCACGGAAATGCATTGAAAATTAAAAACGAAGAAACGATACTGGATAAAATTCGGATGAAAAAAAAAACACATATACACAGCGTTTAAAAAAAACAACAAAAACTAATGGAATGGAGTAGAAGTTGATTCTGGAGATGAAAAAAAAGAGAAACATGTCCAAAGAAGCGAACGTATATAAAATATGCGCAAAAAGATTGTAACATTTTTTATTTGGACATTTTGGCCTTCATTCGGCAAGCAGCTTAAATTTATGATATAATATCAAGTTTAAGCTTGTTCCTTTTCGCACGAGAAAGACATTAATGAAATATTTGTTTTATTCATTTTCATAATTGATGTTATTTTCTGTTTTTTTCTTTGTGTTTGTTGTGCATTTTGCTTGTTTTGAGTCTTTTGTCTTTAGTCGAATGGTTGCTGGACTTTGGCCGCCTTCTCGTGTGTCTCAATTGCCAATGATTTTTTTTCTCTGTTAATCAAGAGAAACTGAGTGTACTCCATTCGAGATCACTGACTGAGAATGTAAAATGAACAAACAAAAAAATAGTCTCAAGATAAAAAAAAGTCGGAAAATATTTGTCATTGTACAGAAAAGAGAGAAAATGCAGAATTTTCGAATCATGCTGGCGTGCATCCAGCTTGATGTTGATTGCTTTATCATTTGTTTCCTTTTTTCAATTTCAAACGCTCATTTTATTTTTAAATTGCTTGTTTCTTTCATTTAGCAAACGTTTTTTTCTTGCTCTATATCTCATCATTTTTCTCTTCTTATTTTGTTAATATAAAACGATTCAATTTTTCTTGTTTTCAATCAGAATTGCTAGCGAAGATTTTCGATGATAAAAGCGTAACGAAAAAAAAAACATGTTTGAAAGAGACCGCCTTATATTCACACAAATGATTAAATACGTTAAGTTTTTCTTTAATCCGTACAATTAATTTGTCTTGTTCAATCTAAACATTGCATTTGATTTATTGTGGAAATATTTTATCCCAAACACACTCACACACGAACACGTAATGCCATGCAAATTCTGATGCGTAGAGCCGACAACAAAAAATTACATCCATTTGCTAAAAGTCAAAGGGTTCGCGGGATTTTATCTAATGCCTCATTAAAAGTACATGGTTTTTCCACTTCTTCTGCAATTTTAAAAACTAAGACGAAAGTAATTAAATTTTTCATAATCTCTGCATAGGCAGGAGAGGAGTGATTGGTGTCAAAATACACGTACACTTTTTCATGTATATAAAAACCATCTTCAAAAAAAGAGTACTTGACAAATGTTCAAATTCAAATATCAAGAGATAAGCATTTTCAGGAGAAGAAAAATTTGAATACATCCATCCGAAAAAAGTAACGTTGATAGCGCGTTGCTGTATTTAAAATTAAAATCATTCGGAAAATTACCTGTGTTGCCCTTAGTTAGTTACGGCTATTGAAACCCGATGTGATGACGATGAACGGAGTCCTTTATGTTTTTACCCCTCTTATTTCTTCCTTTTATACTCCACCAACGAATGATATTTTCTACTTTGAATTAGATAGATTTTAAAGCGGCTACGTAATTAAAATATCATATGTCACACCCTTTTTACTTCGTATTTTGCATATTTTTGATGCTAATACATCTATCGTTTTATAATTCAATTTTTCGAGTTCATTCTCAACTAGTTCATTTGGAAAATGTGCATAGTTTTTAGTTCGTGTTTGATGCTATCTTCAATTCAATAAATCTCTCGTCCTTTAACGGAAACATTTAACACATTCACATTCATGCCAAAGTGCAGCGAGGATCCGGTTGAAAGCACATGAAAAGAAAAGAAAAGAAATAGCACATTTAGATTTTTGTGTTTTAATTCAAAGAGATTTTATTTTATTTCATTTTGATTGAGCTAAAAAAAAAAGAATCGCATTGTTTTATCAATGTTTAATCGAACCATTCAATTTAAATAAACGAATCTTGTTTTTTTTTTTTTTTTTAGTTGATACAATTTGAATCTGATTGTGTTTCTTTTGTTGGGCGACCACCTCTTTTTTCATGTGATTTAAAATGGTTTCTTTAGAGACGCTTTCATTCTAATATGGACATTTTCCTTCATTCTCTCTATCTCTCTTTCGGCCATTCGTACTGGTCAAAAGATAGATTGGGTGTTGAGTGCAAGTGTCATGACATATTCAGTGTTTGTCATTTGATTTCACTATATAAAAAGGGATGGTGAAAGTGCCCATACACATACACAATGATGTATCGATTTCATTATAAAACCCGTTTAATTGCTATCAATAAAGTGCAATTACTATCAATGATAATGGCACTCAACTGGCTGCCATTGCTGCCGTTATCAGCGTTGCTGTTACTTCATTCGGTATGAAATCTGTTCGATTTTTCCCATCAATTTACAAGCTTATCGATTTAAAGTGCCGCATTCGGACTGTTTGGATCTCTTTATTGCTGAACAAAAAAAAAACCGTTCGATTAAACAAAAAAAATGTGATTAACTGGTATTGAAAATTGAGTAAATTCCCTGAAATCATTTATTTTGCTTGTTCGCTACCGTTTAAGTTCGTTGTTCGTTTGTTTGCGCGATGGGGGTTATTGCGGAATTTCAATTACAAGTTTCGAGAATACGCTTTAAACATCATAAATGAAGCTCAAAGTTCAGTGACTCAAAGCAGTTCATTCACCATACGGAAGTCAGAGATCAAAAGATAATTGAAATTGTCGATGATGTGAATATGCCATGTAGAAAAGTTTCTTGGTTTCATTTCGAAATGGCCCAAAATTCCAATTTAAACGAGCCTTCATTACACATACCTCCAATTCATATTGAAGGGTTTTTTTTCTTCATCCGGTGAAAATGCGATAAATAACTTTTGTTTTTTGTTCACATCTAGGGGGGAGACCCCAATGAGTCTCATGAAAATTTAGAAAATCCAGTGATTTCTTTGAATGCAATAAGTCTTTGATTTCAACCCATTTTGAAAGTTTGAAAGGAAAATGATTATTAAATCGAAGTTTATTGACACTTCGCATACTAAAATTCGAATTCGAATCCATGTGTCTTGCCCCTAGATTCTCATTCACAAAGTTTCATGAATTCCATGCAATTATTTAACTGCATACGGACGAATTGAAATGAAATGACAATATAAAAGATGATAATCAAATTTGCTCTATGCTCGAACAATCAAAAGTTTACGAACTTTATGCGAAGAAATTCGATTCGTTCGTTTGGAAAACGAGGAGGCGAATCAGAGCTTCAAAATGTGTGTTTTTTTTTTTCATATTAAGATCGCGAATGAGATAATTAAGATCAATGCCAAACGAATGATGATGAGCAAATGAATGATGCTAAAACTTTGCTCATAATTAATGAGCCATTTTGTCGAAGTAAAGAGTTTTATGCGGGTGTTTTTTTTCGCATTCGACACGCATTCTATATTCAAACATATTATAAACGATAAACGCAATGAATAATTAGTGGAAAAACACCATCAATCGCGTATGAAAAAGTATAGGAACAAGTTTCCTAGATGAATTTCCACATCAATATCACAAACCAGAGACAAGACATTCAACGAACCACACAAACATAACTCATTTGTCGGCTGCCAATGTTAATTGTGTGCGTAACGTCTGCAGTAAACCGACCCGGCAAAGAAGTCAGCCATTTTCATCAATATAGTTTCTAAAAGAATTGACGTTCTTGATGACTCGACATGAACTGGAGAAGTGGCGGGTGGTTCATAGTTGCAATCGCAATGGATTGAAATTAACAAAAGACATTGTTCAACCAGGCGTAGAAAATATGGAACAACAACAAAAAAAACTTGACTAAAAACTTTTTGAAAAGCGCACATAAACGGTAAAGCGAATGAAGTGAAAATTGTTTTGCCGTTGATAGGATAATGCTACAAAAACAGGCATGTGTGTATTTCCGCGGTATTTTACCGTAAAATGACATGTTTGTTTAACACAGCAACGATCGTCGAAAAATCGAGGGCATGGATGTTGAAAAAAAGCAGCATTGAACATAGGCCTAAATTCCAACCCAAACGCAATTGAATCACGCTTCAGCAACAGCAGCACCAACAACAATAACCACAAACGCAATAGCTCAACGAGATTTAACTTCACTCTATATCGTATGCATTTCATTTACCAGTGACTTTTTTCTTTCTCACTGATATGCCCACCATGGAGTCACATAACTCCATTATACATTATGCCGAGCTTTTTTTGTTCGATTTCGTTTTTTGTGTGTGCCATACCTTAGCTTTTGTTTACTTGCTCTGGTTTCATGTGCGTTGAGAGGAGGTTTCTTGATTTAGACTCCCCCTTCAGACTTCATCACATCCGGATTTCTCCCCTGAAGGTATGGTAAAAACTTTTTGCACTCTATAAGTTTGAACAGAAAACGTTGAATATATGGAATATTGTTTATTAATGGAGTTTCTTCGTGTAAAATATTTATTATTCTATTGTCTGCTGATGTTATTAATGATAAATATTTCTTCCACAAATGTTTGTTTAGTCTTTTCAATGGCCTTTTTTTCTGCATATTCATTACAATAGTTGTTTGTTTCGACTTATTCATTTCCTGACCAGGTTTATGACTGCGTTGCTGTTCTTCTTTGTTTCTTTCTGAATAAAAAAAATCTTATTAACCCCCCCTAATTAATTTCCATCATTTTGACCTCTCTGAAAATCTATATTTTCACGTTTGACTCCCTCCGAATTTCAAACGTTGCGTATGTATGTGGTGTGCTTGCTGTGGATTCTCATTATACGAGAATGTTCCGCGATTCTTTCTCTTTCACATATAGTATATGGCACACATTACAGTTTTCAATCAACATTTCGTTCGTTCGCATTCACTGCAATCTCTTAAAATTCTATTTAAATTATTCATTGCGAGCTTCGATTATCTTGCGCTTCTATGTTCATCTCGATTATCAATTTCGTTTTTTCCATTTAACGTGTTTCTTTTATGTACGCAGAAAAGTGCCAACTTCAATGATAATTTCTGCAATTCCATCGAAGATTCGATCCACCGAATGATAAGCAGAGACAGAGTGGATGCGATTTCTTTTTTTCGTATTAAAATTTTGCCGAACAATCACATGCATACACGTACGCCGTTAATGCGCTGCCAAGCAACGCGAATGAAAAGTGTTAGCTATACAGGTGACAATGCTACCACATTCTTATTTATTCAAATGGTACTCGGTCGCATTACTGAAATATCAAATGCAGATTATATTCACAAATGAAATGGGAAAAATCTGTTTGTCCCATATATAAATATGTTTTTTTTCTATTCCACTTTCTTTTATTCACTATCACCGTCATCGCTGCTATACATCGTCTTCACAATTCTCTATCATCGTTTGGAAAGCGAATGATAATGCGAGTATTGATTGTTGTGTTGTTGGGCCAGAGGAGCTTCCAAATGCAAAAAACGTGCACACTGATTAAATCTTAATCTCATTTTGGAATTTCTTTTGTTTGCTTTTGTTCATTTCTTGCTGCTGTTACGCAACCTGAACTGGAAGTTTTGTGTGAGTGTGTTTGAGCTGTTCCATATGTTGTGCGGTGGAAAAAGAAGAATGTTTGAAATTGATTTTCTTCAAATCCATAGAATGGTTTGGCCTCGATAATCCGTTCAAAATTCCATGTCATTCAAAACTCTCTCTGTATTTATCGAAAACTTTACACAGTGCAACCAACATATGTTCAGTATATCACAGTAAAAACTTTGCAAAAACTGCATGCGCTCAATACATTCACACATAACAAATTGCATTTGCAGTATTCGATTGATTATATTAAACTTACTAAATTTTACTTTCTATCCTGTCTATTAATAACAATCGATATTTCGGGCAAAAAAGTTTTTATTATCCTCGTCGGGGTGGTCGTCGTGAAACGTGCATGGACAAACACTACGACGCGTTCAAAGCATACACAAGTTTTATCGTTGAATGCCAATGTGATATTGATATCGTTTTGTGAATTCGTTGTGTGTCACAAAAATCGAATACAACAATAACACCCTTTTCTGTAAAAGTATTTTCGCTTTATTCGAAAATCATGATGTTCTCATAATTTATGTGGTGTGTCGCCATCGGGTCTCCCGCACCAAAACCATGTAAAATTAATTCATCGTTTGACATAGTTTTCTGGGGGCAAGTTTTCGAATGACATTTAAATGAAAATAGATGGCATGGACATTTGTCTAACGTCAAATTTAAATTTAATTTGTTTTAAAATAGTCAGTTTTATTGTCAATTCTTGTTTTGTCACATATTTTAACAAAGACGCACGAATCGATGGACGAACTAAATACAAAACCAATGCTGCATTTTTTTAGTTTATTAAAAGTGAAGTCGACTTTAAAGCTTCACGGAATTTCGACAACCAAATGCGATAAATTCAGTGAAGATAAAGAAAAAAACAAACGAATACTAGCGACTGATAGAGAGAATGTATACAAATTTGGATGGACAAAATGATATTCGGTAGGGATGAATGCGCATTGTGTGTGTGTAACCCTTTTTGTAACGCACTGACCGTTTACCAATTTTTCATCTGGTTGATTGTACACGAATCGATCGATCGAATTGAGATAAAGCGTAAAATAGCTTAGTAAATGCTGGCACTATAGAAACAAATGTCTATATTGTGTACGGAGAAAATCGGTTCAGAATAAGTTGAAATTACATCAACAATGGATGGTC